TGTATTCCCCTTCATATTTATTTTCGGTGGGAGAGAGAGGGAGTAGGGGACTCCTCCCCCCCGGCGGAACTATCCACTTGGACTTAACACCAACCGCCAGATCTGCTTGATGATGATGATGATGATGATGATTAAAATAATAATAATAATAATAATAATAATAATAATAATAATAGTAATAATGTCCATTTGTGATAGTATGGCATTTTTATTCTGAGTTCGGTGTTTAAGGTATGAGACCATTCTCTATCTGTAAGATCATATGTTTTCTAGAACGTATGAAAAACTAAGGAAAGGTGAGCATCAAGAGGGAAATTTCATGAATTCCGGGCTACTTAAACGAAATTTTGGTGAAGAGTACAATGGTGAGATTCATGTTCAATCCCATAATACTAAATATAATTCAGAACAAAAAATGACACATTACAGATAACATTGGTTGTATAGAAAATCACAAAACCTGCAATCCTTCCACAATTCCAGACCTGAACAAAATTCCTTTAACCATTACTTACTACATAAAGCACTATAAACCAGAAATAAAGAGAAAAACAAAAACAATTTCTTTTGTAGTAAGTCCAAACAGCTAGACTTCTTTTCTATGCAATAGAAACAAACATAAATCTTATTATGCTGTTGAGAGGAATGAGTACATTGAGTTTGGTGTAGTCTCTCTTCCCCTAACAAGTCCCATAAACGTTCTAATTTGTTAATAGAATTTCTCTCAATGTTGTTTCTAAAAAAAAAAAAATTGGTCACTCACATTATTCCGTGGAACGGCTGGAGCAACGTAACCTCACCAGAGGTTATTCCTTTCGTCAAGTCCGTCCTTCCCAAAACGCATTATTTTACCAGGCACCGGTTGGGCCCGGCCGTGTGTCGATAGCCTTAGTCACGTCTTCCTCTGCGAATATCCCTGTCACACTGCCATCCGTAACCAAACCCAACACTACGCAGAATGCCATCTCCCACGCGCACACCCGCCACCCCAGCAGACGGGTCGTGTTTATTCCGTGCTCACAAGCTTGGGCCAGTTCCGCACTCACTATACCAGGTGGCGTTGTGAACGTCTACACGGCCATCGCGCGGGCATTTAAATAGCGTAAGTGGTACAAAGTGACGGGCAAAAAGTGGTGCAATATGATTGGTCGCGGTACGAGGTTATCCAATACCACGAATATCAATACCACGAATTTCATACGAAGGTGATTTTGAGAGCAACATGTTATCATCAATAATGTGCCCGCTACCGCAGGTAATACATTTTGTAACGGAATATAGGTGTTGTGGTAAAATATCTTTGGCATTTTTAAAATAATTAAAGATGTTGTCATTGCCAACTAATGTTGTTCCCCCCCAATAGCACGCATTGGCTTTCGACTGGCTTAGCCATCATAATCAGTTGTCTTGAGTACAAAGAAAAAAAATCAACAAAACCACAAAAAACACAAAAAAATAAAAAAACAAAACATTATTAAAACTAGAATAACACAACAAGGATTATGGAAAATAAAGGCTTACAATAATTTACAATTTTTTGGAAAATATATTTGACACACGTGGAGAAAGAAACAGTGGGGGGGTAACCATTAATTATCTAAAGAAAAGGCGAATGAAAATAGAAATAGTGGCACGTTAAAAGATTATTGTTTATGACAGAAAAAAACATAGAAAATGTAAAGTTGCAAGCCGTTCCTTCCCCAACCTGCTAGCAGGAAGCCACAAAACGACTACGCGAGTGTCGCGCGAGCCGAGGGCTTAGTACCCGGCCTGTGGGGAGGAGGGCAATGGCCTGAGGCGGTGCGCTGTCACCGTGCCCGCCCACTGCGGATGTGTGTGGGAGTGGTGTCTAATTAAGTAATTTAGCTAAAGGAGAGAAGGACTATGTTATGATTTCATTTAATAAGTTATTATTTTAAATGAATTGTGTAGGGTTTTCTGAAGTCAGTCTTGGTTGGTAGTGGTTTCTCTATTTTCCAGTATACGAATGTTCTGGTGTGATTGAATGTATGGCCTGTCTGATGGTGTAAACGTTTGGCCAATCATTTACATTTCAACTCACATTACATTTCTTATGTTTTTCTGTATAAAAAATAATTTTTACGTTCCTATTTCTATTTTCATCGCTGTTTCTTTTTAAAGTATTTAAATCGGCTTAACCCCCCCACTGTTTCTTTCTTCCTCGTTGTCAAATATATTTCCAAAAAAATTTGTAAATTATTGTAAACCTTTATCATAATCTTGTTGTTAATGTCACGTTTTAATGTTTTTGTTTTTTTGGTTGTTTTTCTTCTTGTATCAGACAAACTGATGATGATGGCT